TAATAACTATTATTCTAATAAAATAAACAATTATTCTAATAAAAATCTAAAAAAAAGAAGAAGAAAGAAAAGATTGTGAGCTGAGCACGTACCGTCGCGTCGATTTTCGGCAGTATTTGCTGAGATACAGTGCGAACCGTCACGCGTACCATTTATTACAGTTTGTTTGGAGTTTTTTTATCTGCGTCCTCGACGACAAGTATTGTTCGGAAACGCGCCTTGTGCGCGGAGTGGATTGTATTATTGACTTGATCGCTTCCAGCTACCGGCTTTGTTTGTTTATCCGGCACCGGTGTGTATATGTTTTTGACGAGGTGACGCGGATGCACGCGTAAACAGCTATTGTCGCTAGGAGTGCGACAAGGTTGGACAACAGCAGTGACAGTTAGCGAGATGTGCGCTGCAACAGCAATAGGTAACAGCAACATCAGGCAACAGCAGCAGATAGACGACAGCGACGACAACATTAACAATAACAGCAACAATAGCGACGAAGACAACCACAGCAACAACGACATTGACGACAACAATGATAACAGCGACGATGTTAGGGAATGGTCAACGAAGTCGGTGTTACGGTTCTCTCTCTCTCTCTCTCCCTCTTGCATGCTTCGGGCGTCGTTTTGTCACGGGTAATGTGGTTGATCTACCAAATTCGGCCACTCGTTATCCTGCTGTTACTGTTACTCGATCTTTTGTTCTTGTTACTCGGAAGTCCTGCGGGTAGCGATAACGGCTGCTCACGCATGAACTGCGTAGCCACACCGGTAGCCCACAGGCATCGGTGCCGGGTATTTACTAAGGACGGCTTGGAAACAACACAGCCAACACAATACTGCTCACAAATCTCGTTCGCGCACGGAGCATGTATCCGTAATAATCTCGTTGGTGAGGTCACGGGAAAACTCAGGATAAACCGTTAGAAAAGGCTCCCGCAAAATTTTAGCAAACACTGCCGAAAATCGGCAACGAAAATGCACATGCAGCTCCCACTTCTCTCTCTCTCTTTGATAGTCATCGCAGTATCTTTTCAACGGCTCTTCCATCTTTACAGTTTATTTACCCATTCTGCATCACGCTTTCGAGTAAACTGTTCCAGATAGTGCATCTCCCACGAAGCCAACAAGCGTACGCCGTTTTCTGCATAATTATTTGTATCTTGCCCTGGAATTTGCATTACTTTCGCAACCGATACAACATAACCTGATCTACATGACGCACAATCAACACTTCTCAACTGTTCAATCTCTCTACTGGATCAATTTGCCGTACCATAGCTGCACCTGGAAACTTCATCACGAATTTGGCCGTTTTTGCTTTACCAACGACGAACATCATCGCTTAAGCATCTTGTAACGGTCCTATTTATGAGCTGTTATTAAATCACTGCAACTAGTCTAACGTATTAATCTGTTTAGTCAAAACAATACATTAAGCGGCGCTACCTCACTGTTTACGCGACTGTGTACAAATAAGAGTCGAGTCAAAACAAATAGCGTGACGTCACAAATAATAGACATAGATATAATGAATCATAACATTGAGAAAAATATGTTAATTATAGATAATTTGAATATAACAAAGTATCAATTATATAGATTTTAACATACAGATTCACAATATCTTATTCAATCATAAATTTATAACGAATATCGATATGTAAAGTTAATTTATTTATTAACATATGAAATATTAGAAAAATATAAATAATTTATATGTAAAATGAATAAGCATAGAACATGAGTAAGAATTGGTTTCATTAATAACAGCTAAATAACAACTGTTATTAATAAATAAACAACTAATAATTTATTTAAACAATAAGCGATATATAGAACGAAAATATTAAGTTAATACTTGATAATGACAATTTTATGATTTAGAAATCTTATATAATTAACCTAATAATCGCATATTAAAATTAAAAGAAAACCGTTACAAATATGAAAAATTAGTCATAATTCAAATGTTATTAATTAATTTAAATAATTAATTTTGGAAAATACTTCCAAAATTAATTAACTATAAAGTTATATGAAATTTTAATAATTTTCTATTGTAAATAATGTAATATCACGTTAATTAACTTTATTAGTTAATAACTTTTGACGACACTATTGGCGATAATTATATATTGTATAAAATCAACAAATAACTAGTTCTGTAAAATTTACATGTGTAAAAAACTTAATATTAATGGTTATTTACTTGTAAATGAAGAAAAATCATTTCTCAAAATTCGCGAATGTCTCTCGAATTTTCGATGAAATCTCTCCTGCAATAATAAGCGGGAAAATCTGTGTATAAATAGGCCCACCTTTGCACAGGCTGGATTCATTCACTTCTAGCCTTGCAAAGTGAGCGCATGAGTTTGAATAAACTTGGATCAACACCTAAGTTCTTTCTCTCATTGTGATTTACTAAGCAAGATTAACCTTTCCTTATAATTTGAGCTCGACTTATAGAACATCTCGCGCTATAAGAAACTTGGGCCGAATTATATCCTATCCAAGAAAGACTTTAGCTCTGCTTATGGGACAACTCGCACCATAAGAAACTAGGGCATTGTCTGACATTCCTCGATATTTTACAATTACTTATATATATTTGATTTACTTATTTATTATATTTGTTTCATTTATCTATATCCTTGAAATTAGAGTAAAATCATCGGAAACAAATTCTTACTCATTAGCTAAATTACGAGAGTTCGAATTATTTTTATTTATAAGTGATACGAACATCACAATCTTTTTCTTTTTCTTCTTGTTTGTTAAGTGAGGGAGATTTTTCTTTGTTTTCATCTTGTCGCCACTCTGTATTCGCTCATTCTACCATTCATTATATGTCATACTTGTTGCGAATTTGTAATTATCATCATTAAGATTAATTTGTAATTATCATCATTTAAGACTAAATTTACTGCGTTCTATCTAGCCTCATCCTCATTTTCATTTTCATTATCATTTTCTTTATTGATCATCATTAATTTTAAGTCGTTTGCGATTCCGGAGATAAGTGAAGTTATTTCGCGAATTTTTCGCGCCAAATTTTCTCTTAATACAATTTTGCGTTCCTTATTATTGCGAGAACCACTTTCTCGCGAATTTTGATGTTTCCGCTACACCTTCTATGATAATTCGCTTTTCCTAGGTAGATGTTACTTTTTCTAGTTTATCATAGCTGGTAGGTTGCGCGTGCCACCACGTCATTTGAATTTGCTCGCGCCCTTGGGCCACTTGAATTTGTGCGCGAATTTGCAAATATCATAAGCATTTCCAAACTATTTTAAATTATTTTGCCTATTTATGTCAAGCCACGTGTGTACCAAGTGCGGATTGATCGTGCGACGACCTGAGCAATTACTCCTCTGTGACTCCTGTAATTCCCTTTATCACAATCTCTGTATTTCACCTAACTAACTCAAGATCAGTCGATCATAATTCTGCCGAATTTAATTGCTGCCTCAACTGCTCGTTGAATGAAGACACACCTCTAAATAATACCGCCTTGGACATCTTCGCCACACCTATTGGACACTCCCCTTCTATCATAGCACTTGCCAGGAAACGTCTTGCCTCGCCAACACAACCATCACTGCTGCCGATCACCAAGCTTCACAGATCTGAGATGGTTTCGACTCCAGGGTATATGGTGCCACCACCAACTTCTTGCACCTCGCAGATGCTCATAGATTCGACACAGATTTCCTTGACTGCGCGTATACAGAACACTAATTACTCTGCTATGTCTGAGGTACCGGAATGGTTTCGCAGGAAGTCACAGCTGAACGTGGAGCATCACGCAAATAAAGCGCAACTCAACTCTGAGCGGTTTGAGAAGCTTTGTGGACTCTGAACCAAAACGCAGGAGGAATTTCGCGACGCCCAGTTTGCGATGGTTGATGAGCCTGAAATCCTGGTCCATGGTTTGCCTGCTGAATTTCGAGGTTCTCTCTTCCAGACCGCAACTTCTATTCTCGTTGCGCTTGATTTTGATGGAGAGCACAACCTGCCTGCGATCATTGCGACGAGGGAGTGGAGTCCCTCAACCACTGCTCGCTCTGCTGCGCCCCCAGATCGGCCGCAACTGTCCTCTCTCTTGAATCATAGCGCTCGTCGGAAGTTGTTTACCTTCCTGCTCAATTCACCATCCTCTCGAGACAGAATAATCAAGTATTCGCCCTGGCTTAAAGAGCATACTGCGCAGACGATCTTTGGCGAATATTGTATTATTTCTATTTTTATGTATGCATCATAACTTCATTCTCATATTCTTTACATATTACGCTTAACCTAAGTTAATATTTGCAAAGAGGGAGGGGAAGAAATATCCTTACAGACACAGCCGAGTGCGCCACTACTGTGCCTCTTGTGATTTATTTAAGGGACCTATTCCTAAATAATAAATTCTGTTCATGACATCGACTACCTCTTCATCCAATTATACAAAAATCATCAAAGGATTTTCACGTCATTCCGTGGTAGAACGTTGTTCCTTCTTTTTATCATTATAGTTGAGCGAAATCAGAGTAGACCGAATTATAACGTGATAAATAAATTTTAATCATAATTCAGTAGGAGTTAAAAATGAGTTTACGAGCGTTAAAAAATTGTTAACGCATAACTGTCCGAGATTGATCCACAGCCCCTTCTCCTTCAATACGTCTCTTGATGTAATACAATATGGTATAGCCCAAGTTACGTAAATAAGTAATATTTAGTATTGGATGTTCCAAGCAGTCCTAGTCATCAGCTTCTCCATGAATCTTGATAACGAACATTTTCTCTTCAACGATTATTTGATGTAGTTTTTAGTATGAAAGATAACATTTTTATAATACTACACTATGATTTTTTCATTTATATATTAGTATAAAATTGTATAATATGAAGTTAATTATATAAGATTCATTTTCAAAAAATCAAGTTTTAAAAATCATTTATGATTTAATAATATTTAAGAATAATTAAATAAAAAAGAAATTTTATGATTTTCAGTACGGTCGACTTGGTCAAGAAGAACGTGCTATTGCAATGATTACATGTAGTGGTGGCTTGAGCGTGAAAATATTGAAACGTACAGCAGATTTTAGCATACAGACAAATCAACAATCGAACTTCAATTTTATATATACTCAACAAAAATTCAGTATTCCAAAAAAAACAAAATTAGTTATCGAACAAACTATTAGGGAAAGGTCTGAACATGCCGAAATTCACACCACATTTCAGCAAGGATTTTTGAGGCTACGCCTTAAAGCAGCTAATAAAGTTCATGGAATGCTTTTATTCAATCAAGCAACTACATCTATGCCAATTACATTACAATTTTCAGTATTAGGTTTCGGACCAGATTATATTATAAAAATTATAATTACCCATACAACATCTGGATATTTCAATAGAAATTTATATTTAGTTTGTAGAAGTGATAATATCATGGTTAAATCAAGATTAATTAAACTACCTTTTCTTATAACAGGAGTACCACTCCCGATAACTTTTTCGATAACATCAAACATTCCTCTAACAAAAAAAATATATATCTTGTTATGTTTTAAAGGTCAAGTAAGACCATTAATCAATTTGACTGTCTTCATGCCAGTTATTGATGAAGATATTGATGCTTAGTTAACCTATATCTATAACATTCTTCTATACTGTAGCTTATTATCAAGAATAAAATTTTGATGATATTACCATTTCTCCGCATCAAATCTATTTCTACATCAAAATGCACATCTTCGAGATTGTTATTCTCTCTGACTTACTACTGTTATAAAAGTTTATACATATTCGTGCCTTATCCCCATCTTCTACATAGTATAAGACTTTGTTAAATAAGTACTGTAACGGGGTGAATGCTCCGTTTTATTCAGATAATTCGTTCGACGGGCGATTGTATCGAGATGCGCCCGGTGATATCGAAGTATTCAAATTCATTAGTTGGAGAGCAGGAGGGGACGGGAGTCAGTCAACCAACTTACTACTGGCTAGAATTGATAACAGTGAAATTATAATTCGAATCACATGCGAGTTAGTTTATTTACTTATACTCTACAATATACTTGGCCCGCGTGTTTATGTTTACGAAACGCGCGCGCGACAATAACATGCAGTGCCGGAGCGTTCACAGCTCTTTGTTCGCAGAGTTAATACATGCACGCTGCCGATTCTTACAGAGTACGAGGGATTAATAATTCGCTCCGCGCAGTCATATACAAAGTCGCAATACTAAGCTGGCCAGCTTACCTTATTATCGGTCGCACTATTAGAAGGGGGAGAAGAAAGTTCGTTTATCCGCCTCCGGGACGTCAGTCCTTGAATGAAGTGTCTCGCACTCTCGGTTTCGTCCTCGATGGCGAAACCTTTCACTCACACACACTCGCACTCTCACAACAGTGACGACAAAAGTACAGCTTTTGTAGATGTCTGTTCAATTCAGCTGGCTCGTTTCAGCACTCGGAAACTCGGGAAAACTCTAGTTGTTAATAACTGCAGTTGGATGCTCCAATGGCTAGTCCTCGACTGGTTATTTTATATTCGCACGCGTTCCGTCTCGTCTCATATCGAGTTCCCTTTTTCTATTTTCCCCAACCAATAGGTGCTGCCCTCGCAGGCAGCCGCATGATTGAGGCGATAGCGCTAACAAGACGTTTACCGTCACAGTACGTTTCTATTTTTATAGCAGTTAGCAGTCAATTAACTATTATTAAGTAATTATGTTTTCTGCTGATTCTTCATTTCTTTTTCTTTTATTTTCTTCTCAACTAATACAAGTGTTTAAGTCGTTTTTATCTTGAATAATTTCTAATTTATTATATAAATACTTACTAGCAACTATCATGATGTTGAATGTCCGCCATTCCACCTTCGCTGTGGCACTTTTAATCATCAAATTTATTTTTGATCCGAGATGGACGATTATTCGTCCTCTTCTGCTCGAGCATATTTTGCATTTAATCATTCTCTGTTACAAAGATGCTTATCGATTTTAGATACTATGCAGAGCTCGCAAGATATTTTAACATTATATCTTCTAACGCGAGATTCTCAAAAATACTGTGTCCATTAATATGTTGTGTCCAATATAATCGAAAGTCTTAGGAAAATACTAGAAAATACTATTGCTCCTTGGTCGATTCTATTTTCGAAAACATTTATTGCGTAATGATGTAATATGCTTATGTGTAGCACCTATACTACAGCAGTGCTCAAAATTATAAGGCACCCCTGATTTCGCTTTATTTTAGAATTTTTAAGCTTTACAGAGCCTTGGAGTTTTGAATTGTCATTCCCAATATTTTTTTTAATCAAAATTGGTGTTTTTCTAAACAAAAAAATGTCGATCCTATGTAGGGTTGATTCACTACAAAATTTTCATACAGATTTGAATTTCAAAAGTAATATTTTTTGAAACAATGAAGTATCGTCGATATCGTTGCACTTAAAACACTCTACAAATGTTATTTCATTCAAAAAATAATTATGGGGAGGAAAGTAGTGCTCAAAACAAAAAAATGACAAATTATTCGTTTGTTCAAAGCAAATAAAAACCAGACTGAAATATCTAAATTATTCAACGTAAGTAGATGCATTGTATGTAAGTATTGAATGTAAGTGTATTGTTTGTAAGTAGAAATTTCAAACCTTCAAGGCACTGTAAAGCTTAAAAATCCTAAATAAAATAAAGCGAAATTAGGGGTGCCTTATAATTTTGAGCACTATTGTACGATGTGATGACCACGGGTTATAATATTCTTTTGCGACTCTATAATTCCATTACACTGCTATGTTTAACTTCTTTTTATTCTTCTTCATAATAATAATAATTATTCGATATTTGAATTCTTGTGTACAGACGTGGATAGACCTCTTACTTTCATTGTTTATTTGCTTTCACTCATATCGGCTTAAACTATCTTGTTTATTTCAGGTTATGTTATCTCCAATACTCCATTGCTGCTGCGAGAATTAGATTTTCTGCCTAAAAGCCAGTAATATTTTCTCGACTGTACAGTGAGCTTTTCGTGTTTGATCCAAATGTAACTCCTCCACATTAGTCGATGTAATAAACGAATAAAAATTTTTCAATATTATACTTTTTTTTAAATATTGAACCTCGCATAAACAACTAATTAGTTTTTAGATTACACCACAATGAAAAATTTAAACACTAGATCATAACGAATAGTTAAAAAAAGTAACTAAAATTTTTAAAAAATATATAATATATAAATAAAATTGTTTTTGCTTTAAAGAAAATATGGAGCCACTCTATTTCTTTATGTCCCCGTCGTTGACTTTGGATAATGCTAAAATATATAGAATTATAGGTTTTACACATCTCGATATATCAATGTTATAATGTTATTCATTGAATCATTAATATTAATCAAATTGTTTGTAAAACAATAGTCCACACAAGACGCCTATGGGAAAAGTGGTTTCGGTTAATTTAGCTGTATTTTTGATATGATACGTTTCGTGGCATTCTGAACAAATGTCTCCATGGGAACAAAGCCCAAAACTAAATGGGTCCTAAGATAAGATTCATTGAAGTCAGTCTAATGGGGTACCAGTTATAATAGTAATTGGTTATGCTATTTTCGCTATTGGAAAGTATACTCGGTCAATATGGTCCAACTTTTAGTACATCATGTCTTTCGATAGCGTAAATCAATGCTGTAATAGTTCCAAAGCCAAAAACTTAATAGGACTCAATATAAGACTGGAGACAGTATAACAGGCCAGCACACATTGGTACAGTATAACGGGGAACCAGTTGTAAGGGTACAGGTGAGACTCTTAATAATATACTTCAAAGGCGTATGTGTATATTTATACAGTAGCATCAAAAAGTATCGGACCTCCGCGATTTTGGTAGGTAGAGTTGGGTTGAACAAGGTCAAGGTCATATCTATAGTAATTTTCAACAAGGAATCGAATAGTAACCTTCATTCTGTCCTTGAAAATAATCTTGACTTTTATTTCAAGGTTAGTTGATAGATTATGAATATGGTGGTATAAGATTTATATTTTATGTATTCTGGATTTTTTTGAGGTTAATAGGTTTCCGTTATGTGGCTTTAGGATTAAAGTTATGCGGGATTATGGTATGTAGATTTTACCTGAGTACAATAACTAATGTATAATAATTTGTATAATATAATAATGTATATTATAAATGTATAATATTTCAGCTGTCAACATGAAAAATAAGGGTTTTCATTGAAAAAACCTATTTGACCTTGAAATGATGGTCAAAGTCATTCTCAAGGTCAAAATGATGGTTACCATTCGATTCCTCGTTAAAAATTATTATAGATATGACCTTGATCTTGTTCAATTCAAGCCTACCTACTAAAATCGTGGGAGAGTCTCGAACTTTTTGATTGCACACTGTATAGTAAAACATATATAAACACACTCTCGAAGCTTAATGATAGACTGATCTGTAATTAACTTGGTGTAATTAATGTAACCATTTGCTATACTTGAAAGTGTTTCCATTAATGTGTCTGAATTTTCAGATATATTAAGTGTCTTGGCAGTTCAAGCAAACCCGTGAAAAAGAAACATTTAAAAAAAATTAAACAGGATAAAAATTAGTTGCTTTTAATGAATAGTTTTGTAACGGAATATCCGTATTCAAACAATAGTCAGATTATTCTGATAGTTTGAATTTGATATAAAATTGATAACAATAGCAGTTTTCAAAATTGAGTTAAAATCAATAGAACAGTCGAATGGCATTAGCAATTAAATAAAATATTTTATAATTATTTAGTTATTTTTAATACGGATATTTCGGATTGAAATTTTAGATTCAAGCTGTTTTTTTTATTTACTCCTAAGGTACATTACAATCTATCTACATGAAGACAATAAGTAAATTTTTATAACTGTATGATTAATTTACATGGATACAGAAGTATACTCCAGTGAGTATTCTTACTAGTTCTTAACATTATCGAGAGATATTCTACAATAATCTATTTAAACTTTCATTATTTTATGTTTCTTGAGTCTGGTGTTTTTGATTGCATCTTTGAGAAGTTTACTGATAAGTTCGTTTGTGTGGCTTTGAAGTTTAGTGTTGTATATTGCGTAGAAATTTTTAACTTTTTCTTTTACTGTTGGAATCTTTAGATCCTTTTGAATGATTTCGTTTGGGACATACCAAGGCGCGCGTACAATATTACGAAGTACTTTTGATTGGAATCTTTCCAGAATTTCAACGTTCGAATTTGAAGAAGCACCCCACAATTGAATGTCGTAGGTCCATACTGGTTTGAGTATAGCTGTGTATAATAAAAGTTTGTTTTTGATTGTCAGCTCCGATTTTTCTCTTATGAGCTAGTACATTTTCTTCTATTTTAATCCTGTTTTCTTTTTGTACATATGTGCTCTTTCCATGTTAATCTTCGATCCAAGTGTATACCTAAATATTTTACTTGTTCGCTTTGAGGAATGTATTTGTCATTTAATTTAATAGATGGACAGGTGTCTTTCCGAAGAGTAAATGTAGTGTATATAGATTTGCTCTCATTTAGTACTGTTCTCCACGAGTTAAGCCAGTAATGTAAATTTGATTTACGTATTCCTGTAATATTTCTGTTGCTATTTTTGTTTCATGATGTGTTGTTA